CCCACTGCTTGTCCTGTTCAGGGAGATGTGTTCCCAGTACTCCTAGTTAAAATTCTGAATTTCGTTTCCCACAGCATCATTGTTATACTGTGTATGAGGTTCTTGGTCCATTATGGGTTAACTAAACCTTAGTAAATGGCTACCCTGGGCAGTGAGCCAACATATATAAATAGCTTTGTTTTCATGGGAAATGTGTTTAAAGTTCCAAACAACTAATTCACACATGAACTCTTCTGCAAATTGGGGAATGTCTACATGAATTACAGAGGCTTAGAAGGGGACACACAAATCCAGGCTATCTCGGCCGAGTGTAGCAGATTTGTTTTGTAGTTCTACTTGTTCAGATTAAGTTTCTCACTCAACTTTAGGGAGTAAACTTAGCATATTATATTTTGCTATCTTTCACCCCCCCCTTTTTTTTCCAAATTTAGAAGTAGTATGAGAAATTAAAAAATGAAATTATATATTTTCAGCATCATCCTTAGTTTTTAAAGACCATTTGTTTCTACTTATGGAAGTGTTAGCCATATTTAACTCATCTTTGTTTCTGAGCCATTAGGACTTTTTTTTTTTTTTTTTAAAGATTTTTATTTATTTATTTGAGAGAGAGTGCACAAGTCGGGGGAGAGACAGAGGGAGAGGGAGAAGCAGACTCCCGGCTGAGCAGGGAGCAGACTCGGTTCAATCCCAGGACATGAGATCATGACCTGAGCTGAAGGCAGATGCTTAACCGACTGAGCCCCCCAGGCGCCCCTCCCATTAGGACTTTAAATAGAGGGTAATCTAATCTTGCAATGTGGCTTTTTTCCTCCCACAAGTACATGGTCTGGGGGGAATCATGAAGGTCATATACTTCTATGTTAGAAAGACCGGGAAGTATGTATAAGCTTAAATAAGATTGAAAATGCCAAGTTTTCTTTTATACTGACTCCTAGGGTGATCCTCATTTCATAGGAGATGAATATGAGGTCTGCAGATTCAGTTAGTGAGAGAGTTGGGACTAGAACCCAGGTCTCTAGATATCCAGCCCTGGCATTCTGCTTTCTGAGGCTAGGCCAGGATCTAGACGTTTGAAAGCTTATTCCTCACTTCTGGATCTCAAGCTGTTTGGTAGTAGGTTTCATGTGTATGTTTTTTTTTTTTTTTTTGCAAGGCAGTCAGGGTGTTGATGCCTTGCCTCTTACAGCTGGAATACTGACAGTGTGATTGTAGAGGGACTTAGGTGCCCAAATACTAAGTGAAAAATGACTCAGTCATGGAAGAGAAGCCACCACTGAGTTAGTACCTTAATGTATGTTTAGGCAGAATTGAGAGATTGGGCAGAAGTGACAGAGAAAATCTAATTGTAAGGCTTCAAAATGCATAAGCAGTGTAATAATTATTCACACTTTCTCCCATATTTTTTATATCTGCTACAGTCCAAACCCCACTGATTTCAAAAAGAGCTCCACATGTGAACTTAGGAAGTAAGGGCGGAACGTGATTAAAAAGCTTGGCAATTTTGAATTACAGTGTTTTTTTTTTTTTTTTTTCCAAATAGAGTATTTCCTGGGCACTTGCTTTATACAATAAGCAATATTCTTCACTCTAGCAAATGGACTTCTGCTTCAATGAGGCTTGAATATACAGTGTGACCATTATAGCAAGCTGGGTAGAAAGCATTTCTGCTGTATAGCACTTCAGTGAAGGGCCACTGGGGGTAAGCAACAGCCGCTATTTTCCCTTTGTATTGGAAGGGCTTTGAAGAGTACAAGAATAGTTAGTTCAGCCATAGGACTTCAGACCATGGAGGACTAACCCACCTTTTGCTGGCTTGAAAATTCATTTTGCCTGCTGTCCTTTTTTGGGGACTTTCTTTGAAGACGAGTGCAGGCCTGGTTGAATCTGCACAAAACATGGAGTTTGCAGGGCCAGAGAAGGACGGGTCTCCAGGTCTTTACAAGCTGACTGACTGTATGTGGTACTTCAACGGGCCTGCTCCTTGCCCCTTTTGCACTTGGGGGCGCCATCAAGTGGCGCCATCAGGAACTGAAGCTACTGTTGTAGAACCCTTCCTTCTGCCAAGCACTACTGTGAAACGTTTTTGCTTTTTTATTTGGAGGAATAAGACTGCTTTGGATCAAGAGTTATGGGGAAGTGAAGAACTGACAACAATAAGGTTGGAGATGTATCTGGCAGTTGAATCCTTAAGCAGCCATTATATTTGGTATCCTCTTCATCCAGCCTTCCCAGGGAGCGAAGGAGACATGAATTTCAAGCCTTTCTTCATTGGAGGAAATTTTAATGAGTCTTCCAAATAGCCGGCTGATTCCGTCACTTGAGCTAGTAGCAGTTGTCTTGATTGCAGCATATGATGCTGATTCGGATGACTGTTAAGAAACATCAGCCATCTGCTACATCCAGGGTAGTGTGCCTAGTCCTGGGCCTAAGGTCTCTGCCCTTGAAGCCTTCCAGAATAGCTTGGGACACAAGTGTACGCATGAGAGTTAACAACCTGGCAAATGCCAGACGTGTGGCATTGATACCCAGTTTGGTGTGGCATTGATACCCAGTTTGGCGTGCTCTTAGGGGTGTTGTGCAGGAAAGCTGGGACTTGGCTTCAAGGGCCAGAGGCATCCAGCAGGCAGCGAAGGCATCTGAGAGTCTGAGGAATGGGCCAGTGTGCACAAGACTTGGGCATAAGAGTGAGGGGGCTAGGGTGACGGAGATGGAGAGGTCTTTTCAGAAAGTGGTGAGACATCAGAGTTGAGATAAAGATTAGATTGTGAAGGATTCAAATGAGTGCTTGACTTGTTACATTTCTATAAATAGGAATGGGCCAGAATAAGAGTAGAATATTTCCTGGATGAATTAAATTTTTTTTTTAAGATTTTGTTTATTTGAGGGAGCGGGGAGGAGGGAGGGAGGCAGAGAGAGAGAGAACATGAACAGGGGGAGGGGCAGAGGGAGCAGTAGACTCTCCGCTCAGTGTGGAGCCCTATACAGGGCTCCATCCCAGGACCCTGAGATCATGACCTGAGCCGGAGGCAGATGCTTAACCGACTGAGCCACCCAGATGGGGGGTGAGGCAGTTTTAATGCTTTCTACCCTCTACCTCCCCACTTAAGAAGTACTCGAGCTATTAGTGTATGAACTGAAGGATTTTAGAGGAGTTCATCTTTAAATTTTTTTCCATTCTGTGCAATTTGTAATTCTTCGAAAATTAAAATAATTTTTCTGGAAGGAACACAATTTACAAGGAGACTTGTTTTAATTACATTTAGTGGTATTAATTTCAAAGGAAATAGCTGGCTCAGAAATTTTAGTAGTAATTTTTAAGATCTAAAGGGTGAAAAACAGCCTTCTGTGTGATTTGGGTAGGAGAGAAGAACACAAAATGAAATGAGGGTTAGGATTGTAGACCAAATGCATGTCCCGAGGTTCTGTTCACTTGCTAGAGATAGGGGGCAAAATTCTCTGCACTTTCTAGCCACCAAATCAAAGAGGGACCCACATATTTGGCGAAACTGGAGCTGAGAGAGAGGAAGTCATTTTGGGTTGGGACTGAGCTGATGGGAACCCGGGACTGGCATGTTAAGGGTGGTGGGAGAGGCATGGAATCCAAACCGCCCAAACAGTAAAACGATCTAGGCTGTTAGACGGTATCAGTGGCAATAAGATGGAACCGAAGGTAAGATGAAGGGTGCAGACAGAGTGAGGGAGAGAGCCTTGAGGATATGTGAGGAACAGGAAATCCCTCTGAAAAGGCCCTGATGTGGAAGACTTGTCTCGCACGTTCCAGGAGCAGCAGGGGAGGCCAGTGTGGCTAGAGTAGAGTGACTGAGGTACAGAGCTGAGGAGATGGGGGCAGAGAGGGAGGGAAGGAGAGAAAGGGGGACCCACAGCCAGCAGCTATGAAGTTTACAGTAACAGAAAAATAGAAGTTCAGCTACTCCTACCGTGTAGTCTTTAGAAAAATGTTTTTCTGTGCATACTTAGAAAGCAAATGAAGAATTCTCTCAACAGTATCTCCTTAGCTAATGTGGTATCAAACATTAAACGCTTTTGATAATGTCCCTCATTCTGGGTGGGTAGCATAACACCAAAGTGCAGTTCAATACAAACGATTTTCTAGGGCCCTGAAACTGAACAGTTCAAAGAGGCAATTCTCTGGTGCTCTAGCTTCCTTGAAGAAGAAAATGTAAGAATACGTTATGCAGTGATTCTTGACTAGTGATTCTCTTTCGGGTCACATACTTTTTTGGGAAAATCAGTCTAGATCCCTCTCCTCCCCAGTGCAAGCCTGCAGAATCCCACCAAATTTTGCATGTTACCAGAGTCAGTTCACAATTTCAGAGGGTTCACACCCCCATGCACCCAACCCCAGCTCATCCATAAACTCTAAGCTGAACACCCTTGGTCTAGAGGGACAAGAAGGCTACAGTAAGCAGACGTAGTAAAAACCTGGAGCCCAAGGTTCTTTGTGCTGATAGGATGGATTCATCTGCTTTAACAGGAAGCCAAATTGAGGATAAGATTGATTTCCATTTATGAAAGTTGATGAGCTTGTCGGGACATGTCTGAACAAAAGACATTTATTCCACTTTGGCAGGAATGTGGTCGGGAATGTGATTTTTCTTAGAGAGCTACTGAATCTACTGTAACACACTAAAAAAGGATCCCAAAGCTCCCTCCTATAGAAAAAGCTATGGTAATTTTAGCCTGGAAAAATTGTAAGGCAGATGTTACCAAGAACCGTCTGCGTGACTTTAAAAAAAAAAAAAATGTTGGTATTTTTGGTATTTGGTATTCTTGGTAAAGAGTTCATAGAATGTTTAAGCATTTATAGATTCTTGGTGAACCTAAGATGAAATCCTTGTGTAATATAATCTTAGGAAGATGAATGATTATTTGCTTTTGGGATTATTTATCTTTGAGCCAGCTCATGTTGAAAACCTATTTATTTATCTAGTTATGTTGACCTAATATTTTCATTAATTGTAGTTTCTTTTGCATTGCAGTGTTTTAATCCTGGGTGCTTCAGGTGGAGTTGGTACTTTTGCTATACAGGTAAGACAGTTTTTTTTAAAGTCTTCTGACTACAAAGAGTATGTCCATGAATTTATAAATTCACATATTAGAAATTATTTTTTCTTAAAAACTGAGAGAAAGCTAGGTTCAGTAAATTCATTGTAATTTCAGCTTGCTCTTCTAAGAAGGAAGCTTCCTAACCGAGAAGGAAGCATTAAACTTTCCAGTGGTTTAATATATGAGTTAGTTTGTGGATATCCTCTATAGCAAATGTAGGAAAGCTTTTAGGGAGGAAGGCTGGGGACAGTGCGGGTAGATGGCAATTTGCAATTTGGTAGAAATGAATAAGCTGATTCTAAAATGTATATAGAAATGCAGTGGCCAAAATATGGTAAAGATGGCACTATTCCCCTAATGTGATCTACAGATTCAGTGCAATCCTATCAAAATGACAATTGCCTTTTTTGCATAAATGAACAAGCTGATCCTAAAATGCGTATGGAATTGCAGGAGACCCCCAGTTGACAGTCTTTAAAAAGAACAAAGTTGGAGGGTGCATATTTCTTGATCTTAAAATATAATACAAAACTACAGTAATCAAGGGGTACCTGGGTGGCTCAGATGGTTAAGCGTTTGCCTTCGGCTCAGGTCATGATCCTAGGGTCCTGGGATCGAGTCCCGCATCGGGCTCCCTGCTAGGCGGGGAGCCTGCTTCTCCCTCTGCCTCTCTCTCTCTCTTTGACTCTAATGAATAAATAAATAAAACATTAAAAAAAAAAAAACTACAGTAATCAAAACATTGTGATACTGGCATAAAGATAAACATATAGATCAATGAAATAGAATTGAGCATCCAGAAATAAAACCATACATCTATGGCCAGTTGATTTTTTTTTTTGACTAGGATGGCAAGACCATTAAATAGGGAAAAGAGTAGTTTTTTTAATTTAATGGTGCTGAAACAACTAGATATCCATATCTAGTTGGACGTTGGACCCCTACCTCACATTATATGTGAAAACTAAACCTGGGTCAAAGACCTAAATATAAGAGCTAAAACTATCAAACTTCTAGAAGAAAACAAGAGTAAATCTTCATGACCTTGGATTTGGCAACAGATTTTTAGGTACGACATCAAAAGCACAAGCAACAGAAGTAAAAAAAAAAAAAAAAGATAAATTGGACTTCATCAAAATTAAAAGCTTTTGTGCATCATCAAAAGACACCATCAAGGAAGGAAAAAGATGACACACAGGGAGCAAATCTTTGCAAATCATTTCTCTAATAAGGGTATAACATCCAGAATATGTAAGAATTCTTACAACTCAACAAAAGACAACCCAATTAAAAATTTAGCAAAGGACTTGAATAGACTTTTTTTCAGAGAAAATATACAAATGGCCAATAAGCCCACAGAAAGATATTCAGCATCATTAGTCATTAGAGAAATGCAAATCGAAACTTTAGTGAGATGTCACTTCACATCTACTAGGATGGCTATTAAAAAAAACAAAGAAAATGGAAAATAACAATGTTGACCAGGATGTAGAGAAACTGAAACCCTTGTCCACACGAGTGGGAATGTAAAATGCTGCAGCTGCTGTGGAAAACAGTCTGGCAGTTCCTGAAAATGCTAAACATAGGATTACCATATGACTGGGCAATTTCGTTCGTTCGTAGGTATATACCTGAGAGAAATGAAAACATGTTCGGACAAAAACTGGTACACAGATGTTCATAGCAGTATCCATATTCCTGGTAGCCAAAGAGTGCAAGCAACCCTAATGTCTGTCAACTGATGAATGAACAAAATGTGGTTTATGCATTAGTGAAATCTTATTCAGCCATGAAAAAGAATGAAGTTCTGGTGCGTGATACAACATTATGCTAAGCGAAAGAATCCAGACACAAAGGTCACATTTTGAACGATTCCATTTATATCCTGTCCGGAAGAAGCAAATCCATAGAGATGGAAAGCAGTTTGGTGATTGCCAGGAGCTGGGGGAGAAAGAAAGGGAGAATGACTGCTTAGGGCATGGGGTTTATTTTTGAGGTGAGGAAAATGTTCTAGAATTAGACGGTGGTGGTGGTTGCACAAGATTGTGATGTACATAATGAATTGTACACTTTAAAATTGATGAAATGTTGAATTTTAAGTTTTTATATGAATTTTACCTCAAACAAGAAAACAAAACAGTGCCCTTAGCTTCCGGAAACGGGATGGCACTAGTGGTGGTTCCCATTATGGTTGAATGTTTTTTAACTGGCTTCTGGGGGAGGGGGCTTGATTAAGCCTCCTCAATATGCAGGGAGAGGCCCTTTCTGCAATATGGGCCTAGTGAGCATACTCAGAGGCTCTGCCACATCACTTTCCAGGAAGGAGACTTTGGGTGCTATGATCTCCCATCTGGACCCCATCTTGGATCCTTTGAGGACCCAGATAGTGCTGGAGTTTTCCATCTACCTGCTAACTAAATGAGGGGAAAGGGGAGAGGACTCCTAGGGGATGCACACACACCTTGACATCTTTTCAATTCATCATTTGATACTGCTATGGTCTAAATGTTTGTATCCCTCCTAAATTCCTGTGTTGAAGTCCTAATGCCCAATGTGGTGATATTAGGGAGGAGGGCCTTTGGGAGATGATGAGGTCATGAGGGCTCTGCCCTCATGAGTGATATTAATGCCCTTATAAAAGAGGTCCAACAGAGCTCCATAGCCCTTCCACCATATTGAGGACACAGCACTGGCTATGAATCAGGAAGAGGGCTGTCCACAGAATGTGACCATGCTGATGCCTTGATCTCAGATTTCCAGCCTCTAGAACTGTGAGAAACAGATTTCTGTTTATAAGCTACCCAGTCTGGTATTTTGTTAGTGCAGCCCAGACTAAGACACCCAGGGCCTAGTCCGGATACTGAGCAAATGTAGGTTAATGAATGACTAAGTGGAAAAGAAAAGAAGGAGGGAGGGTGGGAGGAAAAGAAAAATACCATATCTTGTTGGTTAGAGTGTAAATTGGTACAAGCACTTCGAGAAATCATTTGGTACCATCTACTAAATCTGAATATGAATTGCCCTATGGCAACCCAACAGTTCCACTTTTATGAATATACCCTATACTTATTTGCACAGTTAACATGCATGTTTGCCAAAAGATATGTACCAGATTAGAGATATCATCTACCAGTGGAAACAACTCAAATGTTCGTCAGCAATGAAATGGAGAAGTAAATGGTGGTATATTCTTATGCTGTAATATTATATAGCCATGAAAACAAACTAGTTGCACACAATAAGGTACATGAATGTCATGGGCAGAATGTTAGTGAAAGAAGTCAGACTATATGATTCCATTTAATGACATTCAAGAATAGGTGAAACTAAAGAATAGTCTTTAAGGATGGCTACCTAGAGAGTAAACCTTTTATTTATTTTATTTTATTTTTTCAAATGAGTGGGGTGGTGGCAAAAAGGGTCATGTAATAGTCCGGATGGTGGTGTTACTTCTAAAGCAGTGAGGGAGCTTTGATTGGGAAGGGGAAAGTAAGGATGCCCAGGAATATGGTGCATGTTCTAGTGTTTAATCTAGAGTGATGCTTATAATACTGTTTGCTTTGTAATACATTTATATTCCATGCACTTATCTGTGGGTTATATTTTAACAAAAACATTTTAATAAAATAAAAATAGTAATAGAAAAGTATCAAGGTTAGATCTCATACAAAGTTATTATGAGAATAGAGAGTAGAGTAACATATCTACAGATGATAACACATCAGAAAACATGCCCACTAAGACAGATCAGATGTAACTTACAATTTCTAATTTTTTTTAACCCAATATGGGTTTTGAATTCACAACCCTGAGATTAAGAGTCATATGCTTTACTGACTGTGCCAGCCAGGCATCGCCAAATGTACCTACAATTTCAAAGTAAGTTTAAAAAAGTAAAAGTATACAAGACATGAAAAACAAAACAAAATAAAACTGAATTGGGAATACTCAGAAATATGTTAAACAAAAAAATTATTTATCAATGAAGACTAAACTAGAAGGAATTCAATAGCAAATAAACAGAACACATAATGCTGCCCTAGATAGTAGTAGCATGTATAAATAGGAAAAATTTTAAATTACAAAAGAAACCAAGAAAAACAGATTCAAGAGGAAATGCCAAATATTGAAGTCAGGAAAGAAGATTGATATATAGGTAGTAAGAGGCTCTGAAGAGGAAAACCAAAACAAGGGAACAGAACAAATACTAAAATCTGTAATTCAAGAAAATTCCCTATTTTCTTTTTTTGAAGAAATTCCCTATTTTCTTTTTTGAAACTACATATTAGATGACCACAGTGCTTATCTAAGAACATGGACCTAGATTGAGCAATATCAAGGAAAACCCTAGTTAATAAAATTACCGGCTTTCAAAGAAAAAGAAAAAGGGGCTCCTGGGTGGCTCAGTCGGTTGAGTGATCTCAGCTCAGGTTTTGATCTCAGGGTCGTGAGATGGAGCCCTGTGTTGGGCTCCACACTGGGCATGGAGCCTACTTGAAAAAAAGAAAAAAAATCCTTGGGACACTTAAAAAAAAAAATTGTGTGACTTAGAGGTAAAATTAGATTAACATCAGACTTTTTGACAGCAGGGCTGTAAGGCCGGGGGGGGAAAAGGAGTAACATATTTAAGACACTCCAGCAAGAGTATACTAAGACTATACTAATTTTATATACAGCAAAACTGGCCTTCATGTATAAGGTCACGTACGAACTGTTAATAACTTATAAGAACTCGGGGAATATGTTCTTATCCTTTTCTGAGAAATGTACTAGAATATGAGCTTCTGACAACCAAAATGACTGAGAGACATCACATTAAGGGCTGGTGGTAAATGTTAAGTGTAAATTTATCTGTAGAACTAAAACCAAGGGCTTAGAAAGAGAGTACATTGTGTAACAGCCATATCCTCTGACAAGGTAAATACAGCACAACTATTTATTAAAAGCGGGGGAAAACTGGGAGAGCATAGTTAAAATTCTAATGCTTTCATTAATCAGCTCTGTAGTATTAATACTAATAGTATTATTCAGAGGCTATTCTGTGTATTATATACAATAAAACAGATGGATATTTATAGCATATTTTAATTCTGTCACCCCCTGTGTCTGACAGCCAGGATTTTAGGTGTGGAAGGAAGGAGATACAGAGGTAGCAGGAAAGAAATTAAGTAAAAGCTTTGTAGTCTTAAATTCGAATTGGAAGTATCAATATGAACTCAAGAGATACTTTGTGTATGTAAAGCTATCTCTTGATAGATAATTGCTCACTAAAAGAATGTGGGACTTCTTGGAGAAATGGCAGATTCTAGATCTAGGGCACAAAATGTACAAGAATGAGCCTAGAACATATTAAGTAGCAAGAAAACCTCAAAGACTACTTGAGTCGTATCAAGGAGACTTAGGAGCCAACTTGAAGAAACAAAGATGTGACAATTTGAGCTTCAATAATAGTAATACAATGGATTAAAAACCTTCAAATACATTTAAATCCATGAGTTCCTATATTTTTTTTAAAAAAATGGTCACTTTCGGGGACGCCTGGGTGGCTCAGTCAGTTAGGCATCTGCCTTTGGCTCAGGTCATGATCCCAGGATCCTGGGATTGAGTCCCGCATTGGGCTCTTTGCTCAGCGTGGAGTCCGTTTCTCCCTATGTCCCTCCCCCTACTCATGAATGTGCGCGCGCGCTCTCTCTCTCTCTGTCTGTCTCTCTCTCTGACAAGTAAAAACCTAAAAGAAGTCACTTTTGGAAAATGATAGGGAACCAGTTTATTTTATAAACTGGTAAAGGGGAAACAGTTATTTGTCTTGCCTTTCCTATATGAATTGTACACCTGAATAAGCAAAATAATATATGAGGAAAAGTGTTTCTTTATAAAAGTATTTCAACTACAAATGAAAAAAAGAATTAGAATATCACTGTTTTGCAACCGCCATTAAAACAGCTGTTAAGATCTTAAGAGCAATGACCAGACATCATGTGCCTCCCGTGATTTTGCTACACACTATCCATAGTCTGGTAAGGAGATTGAAACAGAAATCACTGGACAAAGAAGGCTGTAGAATTGCCCCCTGAGTGTGCAGTCAGAAATCCCAGACTCTGGGAGACTGTGCTGGTCACAAGGCCTGGATTCTTCCACAAATAAATTATAAGAAAGTGAAGGGCTAGAAGAGGAGCCTATCGTGTAAAGAGAGACTTAAAAGACCTCCTGTTTTTATTCTTGGTGAATCAAAGTTTAATCATTTTTACTAGGTCTCTGACAGGTGGCTTCCTGCAGTTCTTGTTAAGACGAAGCACTTGGAGTTCTCTCGAGAGGAGTCTGAAAAATGTACACATGGGTGCCAACTATTTTTAAAACACGCAGTGGGTTTTTCTACTTTCCCCCTCTTTTTTTTTGGACAGGTAATGAAAGCATGGGGTGCTAATGTGACAGCAGTTTGCTCTCAGGATGCCAGTGAACTTGTAAGGAAGCTTGGGGCAGATGATGTAATTGATTACAAATCTGGAAATGTGGAAGAGCAGTTGAAATCTTTAAAACCGTATGTATTAGGACATTGTTCACGTTGGGAGGTGGGAACAAGGACAATTGATCGTGCAGGTTTGAATGGTTTGGTGACTTTGTAATCACGTTGGAATCTTAAAAAAGAATCTATAAAAATACCCCATAAAGAGTCATTTGGGGTGGTTTCTGTTTGAATTCCAGATGTTCATCCAGCACAGTGACATGATGTGGTATGTACTGAGGAAAATATTTTGCTTGCATGGCCTTTTGTTAATTTTTAAGTTAACTTATTGTTGATTTGTAAGAGGTCTGAAGACAAAATTGGAAGGTGTGGTCTATTTGGTGGCATCTGTCACCACAGGAACAAATAGAGCAGTGCATGAAAATACTTGATTAGCACTAAACATGCTTTCCGTGTTTGGGCTTAACAAGGGCATCAGAGAAACAAAGTCAGTAGAAATATTGGTAATCAGAACGCTGTGGATGTTCTCAGTGAATCTGAGTACCAGGCTGTGGTTTGGTTTAATGTACCAAACAGGAGCAGACTCAGTGATTCATTCAGACTCTGTTGCTCCTGACTGCGCTTTGGGCAGAAATAGCATGCTTATTAATCTGGTCTTCATCTAGCCAAGACAGAACTGCAGCTGAGAACACAACTGAGGAGTGTTTGGAAAGATGTTTTGCTGCTTTTTCAAAGGTTTTTCCCTTTTTCTGTTCGTTTTCAGAAGCCAGTTATTCTTGCCCACTTTGAGTAGAAGTATGCACTCGACCCCTGAACAGCGTGGGGGTTAGGGGCACTGACCACCATGTAGGCGAAAATCTGCGTATAACTTTTTTTTTTTTTTAAAGATTTTATTTATTTATTTGAAGAGAGAGACACAGCGAGAGAGGGAACACAAGCAGGGGGAGTGGGAGAGGGAGAAGCAGGCTTCCCGCCGAGCAGGGAGCCTGATGCGGGGCTCGATCCCAGGACCCTGGAATCACGACCTGAGCCGAAGGCAGACGCCTAATGACTGAGCCACCCAGGCACCCCTGCATATAACTTTTGACTTTCCCAACACTTAATTACTAAATAGCCTACTGTTGACCAGAAGCCTTACCAATAACATAATCAGTCCATTAACACATATTTTGTGTTATATATATTATATACTGCATTTTTAGAATAAACTAGAGAAAAGAAAATGTTACTAAGAGAATCATAAGGAAGAGAAAATATATTTACAGTATGTGTTGTGTGTATTGAAAAAAAATCTGTGTATAACTGGTCTTGTGCAGTTAGAACCTGTTAATGGGTCGATTGTATTTTCATGGGTTTAAAAAAAAAAAAAAGAAAACAGAAGGGAGCCCCCATTGGACACTACCTAGCCTTTCTTAGCCAGCAGTATCCACTCCCAACACCAGTATGACAGTGCAGCCCCAAGGAGCCAGCAAATCCCTATTCCTTCAACTCTGCAGCACCTGCCCTGCCAGGCAGGGTTACAAACATGCCATGTAGCTATGGTGCTGAACAAGACAGGAACCCCCCCCCCCCCCGCCCCCAGCCCCGCTCCTTCCATGGGGCTTCCGTTCTAGTCAGGGGTGTGTCAGTGATAAGTGCTCTCAAGAACACTGATATAGGGAAAAGAGGAAAAAAAATGGGGAGGATGTTTTAAAAAGGGGGGTTTAAGGGACACCTGGGTGCCTCAATCAGTTAAGTGTCTGCCTTTGGCTCAGGTCATGATCCCAGGGTCCTGGGATCGAGTCCCGCATCCGGCTCCTTGCTCAGCGGGGAGCCTGCTTCTCCCTCTACCTCTGCCTGCCTCTCTCTCTCTCTCTCTCTCTCACACGCACACACACACACACACACACACACACACAAATAAATAAAATCTTTAAAAAGGGGGGATGGTTTAAGAAGGCCTCTGGGGCACTGAAGCAAAAGGTTTACAGAGCACGCCAGGAGAATGGGATTTTTTTTTTTTTCTTTTGGTTCCCTGCTGTATCCCTCCACCCGGAACAGTGTAGTAACATATGGTAGGTGCTCGATAAAAATTTGTTTGATGCATGATTGAGGGAATCTAGGAGAAGAGCACTTATTCAGGTCGAGATAACAGCAAATATAAAACCCCCGTGGCAGGAACCCGAAGGGATTGAGGAATCCCATTGTCCCTTGCAGAAATGTCGTCAGCTACTTCCTGCCTGTGCATCAGGACTCCATCTTTCTGGGCCTGTGACAGCTGGCTTCTAGATAGTGGAGTTTCAGTTCATCTCCTGTCTTCTGCTGCTTCTAGGAATAGCAGCATGAGACTGAGGCCGAGGCCAACCCTATTCCTCTCTATCTACCTTAAGTTTTATGCGTGTCTGGAATTTGTCACCAGAGAACAGAGACCCTGACTGATGGAAAGCTGAAACCTACTCAGGCTGGCCCCCAGAAGTATGCTACAGTTTGCCCCTCTGCCTCTCTTGCCGTGGTCCATGGTCTTGCTGCTTTTGCTCACTCTTTTCTGGTAGGGTAATCTCTCCAGCCTGCAGATGCCAGGCTGTTACTTTTATTTATTTATTTTTGACCACTTCAGTTACAGTTGATCTTTGTAACCTTTGCCTGGAGTTTGGCCTCTGAATCCACCAAGAATACATTTACTTCTCCTTTCCAGTAGCAGCTTTTTCGATTTGAATCTTAGAATATTACAGCAGGAAAGGGCTTTGAAATCCTTCGGTCCAACTTGGTCATGTTATCGTTGAGAAAGGAAGGGGCAGAGGACTCAGGAGTTTTTGCATGCTCAAGGTCATGCCACTTAAGCATTAGTGGAAGAGCTGAGTCTACAGCCTGTCTTCTCTTTCAGGCAGTGCCTGTTCCAGAATACCAGGCCGCCTCTAAGTTTTATTTCAATTAAGTATCATCATGTTTGTTTATTCAAAACTTGGGAATGAAATAGAAACTTAAACTGATAAAAATAATTTTCTGTTCTTTTCTAATGAGAAGAGTAGTCATCCAGTAAGGTCATTCTCCTTTCCTTCAGTTTTTATTTGTCCTTCTGTAGTTTGGTTCCATGAAATGCAGGCTCAAGATCCACAAATTTGGCCAAAACTGATTTTAGAAGTTTTGATGTTTGATGAATTTAGAAGGGAAAAAGGATTTACCAAAACAGAATTCATTTATTAACTTGCTTAACTGATAAGCACGCATTTTCTTTCTTTCTTCCTTTCCTCTCCCCTCTCCTCCCTCCCCGCCCCCACTCTCCTTTTTCCTTTTTCCTTTCCTTTCCATTTGAGAGAGAGCACATGCGCACAAGCAGGGGGTGGGGGGAGGGGCAGAGGGAGGCGCAGGCTTTCCGCTGAGCAGAGAGCCCAACTCAGGGCTCCATCCCAGGACCCTGGGATCATGACCTGAGCCAACCGACTGAGCCCCAGGCTCCCTAAGCATGCATTTTCTAAATAGATATTTGTTTACAAAAATATTTAAGGGGCGCCTGGGTGGCTCAGATGGTTAAGCGTCTGCCTTCTGCTCAGGTCATGATCCCAGGGTCCTGGGATCGAGTCCCACATCGGGCTCCTGACTCAGCGGGGAGTCTGCTTCCTCTCCCTCTGCCTCTCCCACTGCTCATGCTCTCTCTCTCTCTCTCTGTATCTCTGTGTCTCAAATGAATAAATAAAATCTTTAAAAAAAAAAATAAAATAATTTAAATTTTAAAAAAATATTTAAAAGCGTTCTTGGGTTTTATCCCCTGTAAGTGGAATGCAGTGATTACAGCAGGTTTAGATTGGATTTAAGGAGTTGTGTGTCTTAGTTCCTCAGTTCATAGGACTGGGTTTTGAGGGCATGTTAGAGCAGAATTGAAGACTGAGAGCAGATTGTTGATTTCTCTATACATTGTCCTGATGCTGTGTGTGAAGCCAAAAAGTAGGAGTAAATTCCAGATGAAGAGGATGCTTCTATAAGCAGTTCTGGTTATGGAGGGAATAAAAGCAAATCATTGTATGGGTGAAAAGCTTTTATACTTTTCTTTCAAGTATTCAAGTGCACTAAAGAATACTTTGACTTGTATTGGATAGATAGCTTTGCAGTTTTCCATAAAGCTGAGGTCAGGGTGTCTCAACCTTGGCAAGCTTGGTTTCTGAACGATATGGACATTTTGGACTGGATAATTTTTTGTTGTGAGGGGCTGTTCTGTGCATTCTGTGTATAAACATCATCCCTGGCCTCCAGGTGCCAGCAGTTCCTTCCCAACACCTCCCCCAATTGTGACAACTAAAAATGTCTCTAGACATTGCCTAATATGTCCCCTGGGGACCAAAATTGCCCTCGGTTGAGAACCACTTGTGTCAGTCATTCTTAAAGTATTGGAAAAATGATAACGATTTTATGACCAAAAAAATGAGTCACATTTGACCTAATTTGGAGAAAAGCCAGAGTGGGTGAGTGGGAGTGCCCTGTTCCCCTTGGTCAAAGCAAGCACCCCTCTGCTGGATGGCACGGTGCCGCGTGGTTAGTGAGCGGTCGTTGAAATAAACCCGATCGCTGACTGTCGATGGGAAGGAAGGGGGATTGGAACCTTATGTAAAGACGGACAAGGATGTTTTGACTTTTTTTTTCCTCTCCAGGTTTGATTTCATTCTTGATAATGTTGGTGGATCCACTGAAACATGGGCTCTAAATTTTCTCAAGAAATGGTCAGGAGCCACATATGTGACTTTGGTGACCCCTTTTCTCCTGAACATAGACCGACTGGGCATCGCAGACGGCATGCTGCAGACAGGAGTCACCGTGGGTTCTAAGGCATTGAAGGTAGGGAGGAAGTGTTGGTGGGTGAGAGAAAGCAGGTGCCTCCTGCTTCTGGAATTGGGTTCCCGCCTAGCCAGTCTCTTTTGTCTTGGAGGCAGCATGGCACAGTGGCTGCAGGAAGGACTCTGCCCTCACACACGGACCAGATTCAAATTCTGGTCTCCACTTAATAGCCCTGTAACTCGCAAGTTACTTAATGTCACTAAGCCCCAATGTCTTGACCTCTAAGATGAAACTAATAGGGTATCTTCCTTACTGCGTGTTGTAAGGATTAAATGAGATAATCCACGTAAAGAATTTGGTTACAATGCCTAGTACATAAAACTTATTAAATGTTCAGCTTTCTTATTAGCAATTACCTTTCTTGATTCCATCTTCCTTCTTGCCTATACCTGATGGTCTTCTCTCTGTTTCACCAGCCTTAACACATACAGGCTCTTGTATGTGAGGGCGGAAACTTTATTAAGACAGGATAGAACTGGTTGTTTTCATGGTAGCCGCATTGGGATATGCCAGTGATTTCTAGACCAGGGCCTTCAGACCTGTAGAGGTCCATGGGCGTTTTTTTGAATTTCGAAAACCTGAAGGGAATTGTGTTCTTACTTTAGTAAGACCACAGAGGCAAACAGAACCATCATGCTTTTTCTAGAATTATATCAACTTGTCCTAACACTGCGCATCCCATGTGAGTCAGATACTCTAGCTGTTGATGGCATTCTGGGTGTTTCTGAGACTCGATTAGTCTGCCTGACTCTGCTACCTGGGGCCACTGTTACCAGAGCCGTAGGGAGCTACATCACTCAGCCGAACAAAGGCAGCGTGTGGTGGGCCTTGAGGACGAGCACACAACAGCCTTAGTCGCGGGGCTGACGGCAGAGCCTGAGCGTGCGCTCTCTACCTGCCTAACACCAGAGCCTGTTGTCCTCACGGTGGGGACAGGCTTAGATCATTTCATGTTATCCACTCTTGGTAACTCAGATCACTGGCTTGAAATCTGTATTAATGTTGAAATGGTATAAGTGATAGGCCAAAAAAAAGGAGATAAAGTCTATTTTTTTAATTAGACAAAATATTTCAGATTCAGGCAAAAGACAGTAAAAGTTTCCTCGGTGGGTGAAAAGGTTGTGAGTCATTATGCCAACCTGACCAACACTGACCCGTACATATGGAATGAACGGCTCAGTGATTAGCTGCTGCTTCTTCTAGAAATTCTCTTTGGGACCTTTTTGAGGGTGAAATTTAGGACTTCGGTCTCTTGAATTCCATGAACTAACTACATACTTAGAAGGCCGTGACAGTGGAGACCACTGCTCCATTCTTAGGAAGTGTGTATGTTAGTAGAGGTGAACAAACCAGGTCCTGTACTCGAGGTTCTTCATTTTCATCTGATTCAGGCGGCAACCGGAAACGGTGTCCACAGGGCACTTCGGTGTGGAGAAAGGAATCTTAGCTGTCCTTTGTCTCTTCTTTCTCTTTTCAGAAAACCCAGGCTTTCCAAGTGCTTCAAAATATAAATTTAACTTTTCTTTACGATTTCACAGTTTGTACTTCAGTGAGACCTCTTACAAGTTAACCTTCTGAGTTGTCCTCTGAGAGTAAAACAGGCATCTTCTCTTTCCTCCTACTTGAAAGAGGATAGTGGTAATCTCATGTGAAAACCTTTTAAGTAGTTTCTGATGTCTTTCTGAGAATGTGCACAGTTAAAGCCTCATTGTAATGCTCCAGACTCCTGCCTGCTTTGGTTTACTTTGTCCTGTAATGGCCTGGAAAAAATACACAGGCCCCTTAGAGCAAATTAAGGCCCCTTAATTTGTTGCCGACCAAAAAGTTTCACTTTACAGGGCAGCATGCTGTAAAGAATTACAGACATGGCATTTTTGACCATTGCTGTTCTTTTCTTTAAAACCCTAAACAGTTACCAGAATGTTTTAATTGTCTGAGGCCGGGCCTTAGGGAGAAGTACACTGGACAGGTCTTTTGTGATTGTAATTAAACGGGCCTGCCGGCAGCCTGGGACACCTCAGTGCCTTCAGATGGTACTTTTTTTTTTCCTTTTGTTTTTTAACGTCATTTGCCCAGAGCAGTGCTCCCCAACCTCTTTCTTGCTGTGACACCCATAGAAAATTGTTCGTGTTTGAAGAGATGGTGAGGCTGTTCTGGGCCAAGAGCAAATTACCTGGAGACTTACACCAGCCCAGGCTCTGCGTTGCTACCCTGTGGGCTGAGGGCCCTCAACCTCCTCACACCTATTCTAGGGTGAGATGGGTTCTGTTTGCACCTGTGGTCCCAGCATAATTATTAATGATGACTCCTCTAACTCCCAGAATTGTTCCAGGTTAGATAAGAAATTACAGGGTCACTCGTCCAAACCAGTAAGCCATTCCTCATACCACCATTGCAAAGCTCTGCCCAGACAGCGGCGTGGTTTCGTCTGAAACTCCCGTTTGGTATTGCCCCAACCTTTCCTCAGTATTTAAGTTTGCCTTCAGCACTAGATAAGTATCTGTTGAATAATAAATATAAATATTTATGCGGATGATATTTTCTGTGTTATCAGGCACTTTGCATTCTTTCTCATTTAATCCTTCCAATAAGCCTGTCAGCAAGGTAGTGGTATCACCATTCTTTAGGCCAGGAAAATGGCTGAAAGATGTGGCTTGACCTAAATTACACAGCTATTAAGTGCCTGAGCTAGAGTAACAGGGGAATTCCATTGCACTTGACCACTTTATGCCCTTGACAAGCATGCTGAGGGATTGTGAGACAGGAAGGTGCAGGGAGGGAGGCCGCGTGGTATTGGCTAATCCCATACTACCTCTGGATAACTCCCATCTGATGAAGTTTAGCTGGGCAGGTCATTGAGGTAGGTATCATAGAGAATGTCAGTTAAGTTGTTCTTTTGACAGTGGCCTACCCTACCTTTGACAGAAAGACTAGCAATTGGAAGTGGGTATGGCAGTAAAGTGGTCATGAACCCTCTGGGTAGAAGATTTTTGCTTATTTTTATCTAGGGACGTATGGTCCCATAATAGATTTGATGGCTTGGGACTTGTTATAACTGTAGGGGGAAGACCCAACCATGATGCATAAGGAACTTTACACTTTGTTTTGCCCTTAAAGCGACTCTATTCCAGAAAGAAAAAAAAAAAAATCTGTAATTGGATTTCTTGTCTAAGATCATATTTTGGTGCCTTACTGCCCCCTAAGCATTCTTGAATTAGGTTTAAAAACTCTTCTCTGGTGCCTCTGAGCTTCATTTAAACCCTAGGAGAGAAAGCCTAGAGGGCTCAGCCTCTAATTCTCCTAGGGAAGAAATTGAATGTGTAAGACTAGCCTATCATTTTAAGGACAGCTTTCCTGTACTTACTTGCTTGTCATTCACAATTTGGTAAAAAAGCCTGAGTTCACGTGGATATATCTTTGTTCATTCATTCATTTATTAAACATTTATGGAGCATCCGCTCTCTGTCGGTCACTGTGCTGAGGTGTTGGGCATACAGCTCATTGATTCATAATGGATAGGAAATCGGTTTGTCTATCTTAATCGTCCAGAAAATACTTTCCCCTCAATTTGTATTCAGTGAGATTTTATCCTTTCCTATATTTGATGTGTTTTCTTTTCTTCTTTTTAGCATTTCTGGCAAGGAGTCCATTATCGCTGGGCCTTTTTCATAGCCAGTGGTGTGTATCTAGATGACATTGCGAAACTGGTGGAAGAGGGAAAGGTACGTGCAGCCCCTTGGATTGCTGGAGCATCCCCAGGAATCTTGGCCACCCACCCACCAAGCCTAGTCAGTGGGAGCTCTCTGGGGGCAGGTGTGGTCAGTACCCATGCTGCTTTCCACGGCCAAGTTCAGGTGCTGTAGTTTGGTTCTGTCTCCATGGGAGTCCTAGATCTAGACTGCTACATCTGAAAAAGAGCCGACACCATCTGGTTCAGCCCTCTTAGTCTATAGGCAAAGGGCAGGCCCAGAGAGGTTATGTGATTTTCTCGAACACACTGAGACGGCTAGCAGAGCTGGCATTTACAGCTAGGCTGCTAATATTTTGTAATGATCCTGAAAAGAAAGCACCGCAAAGGTAATCTCTGCACCGAGGTCGGGACACACTTGTGAATTTACAGTAGAACTGCTCTGGAGCATCTAGAGTCCAAGGCTGCTCTGGAGGGAAGCAGATTGCCAGATTAGCCCGGTGAACAAATACTGTGGATTCTCAACTCTTAACAGGACCGGGCCAGGACTCCAGTCCCCAGGTCTCCTGTTCCCCAGCTAGTATAACACACTTGGAGGGCAGATAATGGTATGTTTGAGAGGGTTAGTGGGTGGGACGTTGGTGGGGACAACTGGTCGATGTTTCTGATGGCTCAGGTCCATCCTGCAAGGACTCTATGGTGAAAGGACTGTTGCTTGTAGTTGGAGCATCCCTTTTTGGGTGTCAAAGGCCTTTCAGACCACTCTTTATTATGGTTTTTACATGGTCTTAACAGCCCTGACATTCTGTCTCTGGAAGAATAACCTGGAAGGAAGATTCCTATTCTGTTGCTGATATTTATGATTTTATTTAAGAGACTATATGAAATTATAGGGTAGAGACCCTTATATGCCCTAGAGGATTGCATGAGGTCATAGATAAAATGATTTTCATTTTATAGAGGAGAAAACAGGCTCAGAGAGAGAAAGGGACATGTTGAAGTTTGCATTAGTGGGACCAGGATGCATGCTTCCTGACTTCCAGTCCTGTGCTTTTCCCTTTCCATCATTCAGCTGCATCCTTAGTGCTGGAGGCTGATCTGGGACTTTAGCTTAAGTTGTCTCATCAGTGTCATTTTACGGTGGGCAGGGAAAGGGGATGGAGTAGGGCCAGCTTTGCCCCTGCATGATCCATGCTGGGCCACTTGGAAAGAGCCCCTTGAGATGGGCTTTCTCGTGCTGGCACCTGCCCCTTGCCGGCCCATTTCGTATTTCCACTGATTTTGGGAAGGAATGTCTTCAGGACCTACTGGCTGCTTTTTGTGCGTTTTAGTTTTTTTTTTTTATTCTGTTACAGCCATGGAAATACATGCTAGAAAATGGCCTGCTACCGTTGCCCAAATTTTGTGGCTTCATGTTTGCGTGCCTTTTCTTCGACTTCCAAGTCTTAGTGAGCACTGGGTAGACAGTCTCCGCCTTAGTGTGACTGTCCCTAAGTGCCTCTTTACAGGGTTCTTCTCACCTCCCGCAGGATGCTTATTTTATTTCCAGGAAGAAGGAAGCGAACTATTGTTAAATAACGTGGCCGGTAGTTTTATGTGCTCTTTCATGTGATTGGAGAGCTGCCCATCCTCCAGAAGCATCCTGTACAGTTGTGCTGATCCCAGTATGGCTCCAGGCTGTCCACGTGCTTACCATTGCTCTTTTGTATTCAAAATATTGTGACTCTCTCTTTCTCTGCCTGGAAATTACTATTTATGCAACAGAGAAGAGAAGAGACTTGTGTATATGTAACTATTAAATTTGGCAGATAACTGGTAGAATGGCTAAAGGAGGACAAGGTAGAAATAAAGATGCCCTTGAGGTGTCCTCAGACGAGGGTGAGTGAGGAAATATTCTTTTGGCCTAACCAGGGTTATTTGGGCCCGGGAGTCCTTTCTGACAGTGAAGGACTCTGGGATTGTGGAAGTTGCTGTGTGACATTGGGTGCTGTGATAAGGCCAGCTGTCTTGATGTTCGTCCTGCCTCCTTGTGGGTGCGGGAGGGGGCCTGTCCACGCTGGGAAGTTATAGCAGGTAACAGAGCACATCTGCTTCTCTGGTGTGTGGCTGGTAGAGATTATTAAGTTGGACGAGGACACTGAGATTCTTCTAAGCTTTGGCTGAGTGCTTGGTGAATCTAACAGGTATCTGATAGAGGAGCTGTAGTTATTTCTGGAAAGTGTGAAACCATGAACCAAAAGAACCTACTCTTCTGAAATACTTTTTGAATTCATAAAATATTTACAAGGTTCAAAAGGTAGGAGAAGTTATTTCCTGAAATCTTCCTTTGACTCCTGGCCCTCAGTCACCGAGCTTGTCCTTGTCAGACGCAACCACTGTCACCAGTTTCTGGGGAATTCCGGAGCTGTTCTGTGTATCAGTAGGGTGATAGAAAAGGATGATGTGTAATTACCACACTGAGTGTAGCGGCCTGCTACCGAAACTGCCTTATGCCTACAGTTATTTTTGCTTTTTTTTTTCCCTAAGCACAATAAAAATTTCTTATTTTCATACTATATAGCAAACTTTTGGGTTAGCATACTCAGAGATTAGAAGCCGGAAAACATAGCACATGTCTAGTTTACTCACCTCCCCGCACTCCCATCCTGCCTTTCTGCCTCCTTGGAGAGACAGAGGCCCCATGACATTAAGTGACATGATCAAGGGCTCAAGGCTCTTGACCTCTAGGATAGTTCCTTCAACCACCATTTCTATCTTTAAGATTGAGGCAGTAATACATACAACCTTCATTGTTTCCTGCTTGATTAAATAGCCATCTAAACATTTAGATAGGTGGGATTTGAAGTCTATCTCCAAAATCTTCCTATATTTTTCAGTGTCTCTCAGGCCTGAGAGGAGGTGGGAAGGCAGACTTTTTAGACTATAGTCCGCTACTGATAAGAATGACTATGCTTTGAGGGAAAATACATGTGTGTATTTGCTTGCATATGCATGTGTTCATTTCCTATTGGTTCTGTCACAAATGGGCCATAAATGGGGCTTGAGACCACACAAACTCAGTGTCTTCTGCTTCTGGAGGCCAGAAGTCTGAAACGGCTCAGCAGGCCTGTGCTGCTTTTGGGGCCGGGCTGTTCCCTGGCCCTCCCCAGCTTCTCGAGACCACCTGTATTTCTTGGTTCAGTCTTGAATCGCTTTGCCTTCAGCTGCCATCATCCTGTCTCTCGCCAACTAACTGTCCCGCCTCCCTCTTCTAATGACCCTTGTGATTACACTGGGCTCATCCGGATAATCCTGCCCATCTCAAGATCCTGAAGTTAATCACGTCTGTGAAGCCCTTTTTGGCCTGTAAGTTACCATATTCACAGGTTTGGGGGATTAGAGTGTGGACATCTCTGGGAGCCAGTCTTCTGCCTCCCACAATGCATAAAGTATCTCAAAAGATGAGAAAAACTTGAAATATTGGTTGTCCTAGAGGAGGACTAGGTGGCTGGGGTTCAAGTATGGGAGGGAGATTTTTCCTTCTACCCTTTCCTCTTTTCAAGTATGTTTATCTGTACACATATATTCTTTATGTAATTATGAAAGTCCTTTGATGTCATGTTCTTAACATTCACAGATCTGTGTTAAGATCCTAGGTGACCAGCCAAGCTTCTTGATTGAGCGATGATAGAGATGACCTCAGTTTCTTTCTGTATTTTAGCCAGCATCAGAATAGTTCCTACGTAACTTTTTTGAATTTAATTTAAAACATTTACTGAGGGCCCATGAACTTTGCCTAGTAGGGGGAAAGATGGGTTGGCCACGCTGAGTTACTGTCTATGCAGTGATGTCCACTAGAACTTTGTGCAGTACTTGAAGTGTTCTCTGTCTACAATGTCCAGTATGGTAGCCAGTGGCTACATATGGCAATTGAACACTTGAAATGTGGCTAGTCCAACCGAGGGATTGAATTTTCCATTTTGTTTACCTTTGGTTAATGGAAACGGCCACACACAGCTAGAGGTCACCATACCTACCGGACTCTGCAGCTTTGGAGAAACGAGTGAGTTCTGAGGCAGGCAGTTTTCCCAGGCCCTTCTTGAGATCTGGGGCCTGCGTTTAGCAATGAATTACATTTTAAAACTTTGAGCTCCTTCTTTGCAACTGGCTTTTTTTCCTCCACAGCAAGGATGTAATGATCAGGGATGGAAGGCCTAGGGCTCCGAGAGGAGCCTATCTTGCCAGCTGCTTGGGTCTGTGGGGAAAAGTAGGCCGAGTTTCTCCTCTCACCTCTGGCTGGAAGGAGTGCCTTTTTCAGGGGGGCTTAGGGACAAGTCCTGGATGCCTTCCAGAATGGGCGCATTTCCTCCCTTGGGGTATAGCCTCCATTACCTTTCCCCCACCCCTTCTTACCACCTCTTCCAGCTTTGAATTTTCTGGGGCCAGAAAGTTCCAGAAATAGCAAATCCAAGCAAAGCCCACTTCTTCCCCTTGTCTTCTTCCTAGCTCCTCGGTCGAAGCCCCCTTGTGCCTGGGAATACTGCCCCCGTCCCAGAGGTAGTGCCGAGGCTGCGTCCCTGCCGCCCCGGCCCTGGGTCCCTGGTGCCCGGCACACGTGTGTGGACTTGGCCTTCTGCCAGGAGCCCTTAGGTCTCCCTTGCGTCTTGTCATCTGTTCATCTCCCTTCACACACCTCACCCTCTGGGAGCTGCAGTTTCTGTGCCCAGTGGAGGCGGAGGTGGAGGGTCTAGGGAAGAGGGGGACAGACCGTGACCCACGCTTCCGTCCCAGACTGCACCCCCGGCCACGCAGCAGTGCAGTCGGGAGTCCCGGCCCGAGCTCCGGCTGTTCTGCTAGAAGCTCTCACCCTGCACGGAGCACCGAGCGCTTGGCCACTGGCGCTTGGGCAGCTCGCGCAGGTGTGGCGGGCCCTGTGAAGCTCTGCCGTTGTGTCCTTCTTGCTGGGCACGTGGGCCTTGAGGGAAAACCTCTCTGCCTACTGTTCTGCCTGCACCGATGGTGTCCTCCCTCCGTCAGCTCTCCCGCAGAGGGCTTCTCTTCCCTCAGGCGAGGAGGCTCGCCCCGCGGCCGCCCAGGGAAGTCGTGCCCATGGTCCCCGCGTCCTCACGAAAGGGATGTCGGGCAGCAGGCGCCAAGTCCTGGGGCCTGGCGTTACACAGCCTTTGTCTATGCAGGTAAGGCGCCGCCAGGAGAGCCTGAATTGGGTCCCAGACGGGAACGAGTGCGGTGCCGTGCGGAGCCCGCCCGCTTTATACCGGGGCTCCCTGTGGCCGCCGGACTCGAGCGGTGTCATCACATAAATGTGCCCACCTCACTGTGAGCAGCCTTTCTTTCCCCTCGCCGGATTTCTACTCTGCTCTCTTGGTCCGTAACAAACAGGCATTCTAGGCCCCGTGTGAGGCTCGGCTTCATTATCCAGTTAATCTCCATCTGCTGCCACCTATTCAGCCAGCAGCGGCATCTGCCTGCTTGTTAATCGAAAGCCTTTTTTTTCATTGTCCCTTCTGGGAAGAGCTGAATGACTCATTCTGGCCCAGTCAGCCCTCTGGGGTTATCCGCCACAATAGGCCTGACCAGCCAGATTAAAGTGTGCGGTCACCGCAGGCCGGCTGTGTCATCAGCTCGGGATCCGTGGCTCCGGTCAGAGTTCTAGCGTGGACAGAGCTGGGCGAGCCTGGGCAGCTCATTTTCGAGCCGAGCCCGTGGCTTCCCTGCTCCCCCTCCCTGACCCTCTGGTACCACCGGGGCTGGGGTGCTTTCGTTACCCGTGTTAGAGCTCAGTGAGAAGTAGATGTGATTGACTCCTTTCTTTCCTTGGTTTACCACCCGCCCCCTCCCCCGGGGCCTGTGGTGTGTATCTGCTCTGGGATCAGTGCCCAGCACTTAGAAGGCAGACAGCTGGTCAGTCCTTGTGGGATGAACAAATATGTGTCTGCCACAAGTCAGGGACCCTAAGATTAAGGCAAGGGCTGCAGTGATTCCCCCGCGAGTGTGCAGTAAACCCACCTGGAAGGCTTCCTGAACATGCATGGTCTCCACTCCACCCCAGCCCCTAGAGATTCTGATTTGGTGCTTCTAAGCAGAGACCGGGGACTCTGCATTTTTTGAAGCATGCATTCAGGTGATTCCTTTTTAGGTAATTAGCATCCAAAACACAATGCCCCAGGGGCTTTCAAGAGAGTGATGGGTTCAGGAAGTTTCCTGTGGGACATGCAGGAAACAACTTTAGTGCATTCCATTTTTATTTACCAGAGAAGGCAGATAGGTTTCATTTGACAAGTCAGCTCAGATCTGTTCCTAGTGGCTGCAGTGTGGAAGAAGATTCCGAGGACAGGCTTAGCTTGCTGGGGACTGTGGGGGGAGGACCGTGGTTACTAATCAGTGATGTCATCTGCAGGTGCAGATGGGAGTGGGGGCCTCACCTGCTGTCTTGGGGGCCTGGACACAGGGCCTGGAGACTGGGTCCTCAGCTGCTATGGTCTCAGCACAGGGCAGGCCAGCAGAGATGCACAATGCGAGAAATCATTACAAGCCTTCGCCCCCTTTCCTCCTCTTTAGATCTTGGGATTGGATGTAGAGAGCAGCCTGACAGGCTCGGGGGGAGGGGGGGAGCACACTCTGGTACCAGACTGGGTCCTGCCTTACCGCTGAGCCATTGTGTGAAATCGGGTGACTTCTTTAACTCGGGGTCTTGATTTCCTTTTCTGTAAATGGAAGTAGTAATAGTACCTCGCTCCCAGGGATGAAATGAGGTGAACTATATCGAGCACTCAGGAGAGGGCCTGGCACACGGGACAGTGCGTGCTGGCTGTTACTTTTCCCCGGAGCTTACCGGGATTTGTGGGTAGAGAATTTTGAACTCTCTGGAGAAGGGAACTTTTGGAGTCAGAGACGCTCTTCTGGTGATGGGGCTGTGAAATTCACACAAGAGGAGGGTACATCGGGGGGCCTCCGAACCCCGCAAGAACACGTCTGTCTCTTGTGAAATGAGAAGGGTCGTGAAATGTAGGCATGGGCTTAGGCCTTCTGACAACTTCTCCCTGTCCGTGGAGCTGCGGGAGGCAGGCCGCTGAAATACCCAGGGGACAGTTAGATGTTCACTTGTAGTTTTGAAAAGGAGGAGTTCAGTGGGATTTTTGCATCGGGGGAGAGGGTGCTGCTAACTGGGACCTGCGTTCAGAAGGCAGCACTGAGGATGCAGGAACAAGAACCACAGCATTCCAGCGTCTGTGAGCGGGCCGAGGTGGCTGTCTTGTTAAATTCTAACCAGCTGCTTGGCTGGTTAGCAAACCCTCCCAGGACAGCTTCACCCTGGGACAGTTGTCCTGAAACCCAGAGAGCCCACGTAAGACTCTTGCTTCCCAGTTATCTTACTTGTTTTCACCCAAGTGACCTCTGTTAAGTTCCCCGTCCTGTGCTCAGGTTGTGCTGAGTGTTGGGGGGAGGGGGGAGTCCAGAAGAGGCGGCCTGGACCACAGGTACTCAAACTCTAAAAAAGAATCTGTCCTTAGTCTGTCCACTGCCTACGGGGGGAGGCGCACAGAGGTCCAACCAGCAAAACCTCGGGATGCACCCTTTGGTGTTTACCGAACGCGACAGGGTGGCTGGGACGTGTGTGCCGCCGGAGCAGGCCGTCTGTGCAGAGGGCCAGCCAGGTCCCTAGCGGGCCCGAGAGAGCTCAGGCAGGGTCGTGTGAGACCTGGCCTGGAAGGGTGGTGGTTGGCAGAGCGGCACACGCAGCACGTTCAGGCAGTGGTAAGTAGGCCACTGCGGTCAAGCGCAGCGTCGGCATGAGGGCCGAGGTTGGGATGGTGGCGGCCTTGGAATGCCTGGCCTGGGAGCTGTGGGAGGGCCGTGCGCAGGAGAGTGACGTGACCAGCACAGAAGACAGACTTGAGCCGCGGCCGGGCGGTTGGGCCACCTCACCGGCGTGCAGTGAGGGGGGCAGAGGTGTGGGGTGGCGGTCAGCGCCTCCCCTCCGTGCACACGACAGAACCCCGAGGCTGGCCTGGAGGGAACGGATCCGCCTTGAAAACCTGCATCTTTCCTCCTCACCGGTCAATTTCTTCTCGTGTCTTACAGATTCAGCCAGTTATTGAAAAAACGTTTCCTTTTTCTCAAGTTCCAGAAGCCTTCCTGAAGGTAGAAAGAGGACATGCGAGAGGAAAGACCGTGATTAATGTCGTTTAAATAAACACTGTGTGGTGATTGTTGGCTGTCTTATTTGGTGAGTGCCTCTCGGCCCGGACGTTTTTGTAACCGTTGCTTTCCAGATTAGATGATAAATTCCATGATCCAAGTGTGGAAAAACAGACACCTTTTTGCCAGTAATTTGTCTTCTGAACTGAGCACAGATTCATTTTATAGGGCCCCCCTCCCCGCCGCATCTGCATGTCACCCCGCCCACAGTGCTGTCTGGTACCCTGCGCGACATCCCTGTGTTCCTGTTTGCCGAGAGGTCCTCTGGGCCAAGCCGAGGGGACACACAAGTAAGACAGGCCATGCAAATGGCCACGCTTGGCCTGCTCTAGAAATTGCACAGGGAAGACTGTAGAGCTTTCTTCAGGCTGTTTGTTCACGCCAGATTTTCCCATTGTGTCCTCTTCTGTTCCAGTAGCTCAGACTCTATTCCTGTGAGCTGCTAAAACTTGTGGCATGTGGCTGGATGGCAGCGTGAAGAGCTTCCTTCAAGCTACCTCCTTCTTGAAAACAGTGCTCCTGGATGATTCCAGCTGGGCACGGTTTCCTCTGCCCTGCTGTGGTCCTAACCACCCTCAGTTCTCAACCTCTCCTTAGGGTCACATACAAAATCTGGCTGCTGATTTGGTTGTTGACTCTCAAGAAAATGAAAGGGGACGCTAAAGTTTCTAACTTTACATGTTGCATAAAGGCTAGGCCTCTTTCAGCAATCGAAGCATGCTTCTCTGAGGACTTTTCCATGGAAATGGCAACTCTTCTCCAGTGTCTGACCTTAAATGCCTGCACTTAGTTATCTCACCAATAAGCCCCCTGCAGCTTTTGAATTTGTCTGTGACCTTCACTCAAGGTAAGTGTTTCTTTCCTGGTGTTTTCCTCATTACCTCACCTCAGCTACTGGCTTTTAGCTTTGGACGTAGACTTGTTCAGGAACGTGCTACTCGGCTCATTCCTGTCAGACACTCGGTTGGTAACGTGTTAGATGAGGGCTTCTCTGGAATTGCTGGTCTCACCAGTACAGATATTCAGAAGAGCGCAAACGGTACTCTCGTCAGTCCCAGCCACTCTGACTTCCGTCTGAACGGTCTCCGCGCTTTTCCTGGCGGGCTCCCACGTGGTCCAGTGAGGGGGCAGAGCTCTTGAGGGAGGACCTCACTTACCCTCACCCGCTTGGAAAGTGGAGCGGGGCCCTTTCACCACTGAGTCTGGAAAGCCCTGAAACCTGCCTCTTCCTCATCCGTCAGCCTCGCTGTGACGTCTGTGACGGCCACGGCAGGGACGCGCTCAGCTCTCACCCGTGCAGTTAACCAGAAACAAGTTTATTCAGGAGAGAGATTCAACACCGGCGATTGCAGGAGGTCTGACCCCCGCCCACTAGTGATCCGCACAAAGGCCTCAAGTCCCAGCCACACATCTCGGAACCAGACAGACCTGTTGGCAGCTGTCGGACACGTGCAAACGTTACTTTAAAACTGAAGCTAAGCTCCTGACCACAACTGCCGACCCAAGACTCGAGAGAGGAGAGCACGTTTTAGCATTGGAAACACCCTGCAACAGATAAAAAGGAAACAAGATTTGTTCTTCCTGGGATGACAGCACCACTCTTGGCAAGGATAATGAAATGAGGACGAGCATATGCAGAGAAGTTCTAGCAGAAGGCCCTGGTTGAAGGGTAGCACCGTGTGGGCCAGTATGTTGTCAGCAGTTAAACTCTTAACCTTTTTCACGGAAACGCTGCATTTTAGGGCTTCCTGAGTCCTACGATTTGAACAAGCATCGCTCCAGGCCTCCTTTCCTTCACGCTCTGGAGAACTGCCGGTCAGCCCCCACTGCCTGCCCCAAGTGTCATGGCTGCCGCCCGAGGCCGTGTGGCCACGGGGGCCGTGGTGCGGAGACCAGAGGCGGCCCGCGCAGGCCTCGCGCCAGTGCGGCTGGCTAGGAGGGCAGCGCCTGAGGCGACAGGCCTGAGCTTAGCAAAGGCTCATAGGCCATTGCTTCAGAACGAATTGTAGAGGAGGGAGGATGGACTGATAAACTAGGTCTGGCATCCGCAACAAAAGCGTTAAGCGACACTCGTTCGTGACATTTCAGGGCAGCCCGCAAGTGGGTTAAAATCATCCAGATCCTGCTCGTGTTAGCGGACATGACGTGAAATCCCGTACACTTACTAATGTTCAGTACTAACAAAATAGTATTTTATTTGGTTCCTTAAAATGATTCGATAAACCTTTCACCACTTTACTATAGAGCATAATTAATGATCCCAGAAAACCGAAGAACCAAAATTATTGGCCTGATATATTTCTTCTCAGATGCTAACACTTGAGCTTTTGTCCGTCCCTGTAAAGTGTAAGGCATTGGTAGGCCCACAAAGTCTACTCGAAGTCTGTTCCTATTCTCTCCTGTCACTCTCTTTGGAAATAATTTAAAATGTCCAGTCTTGATACAACTTTTTTTTTTTTAAACACCCAAAAGCTGCTAATGAGGCAACCTGGTAAGCAGCTACCAAAAGGAAATGAAAGGCAGGAAATGAAAGAAGGACAAATGGTTGGTTTAAAACTATTACAGTCTTTTGAAAAGAGGAGACCATAGTCCTGGTCATGGCAGGGTCATTCAGGGGAGGACCTAGAGCTCCTGCAGAAGAAGCAGGTCCCCTTTCCTTGGGGCTCTGTCCGTTTTTGTTTTTAAGCAGCTGGAAGACCTCCAGGAGCATTCCTCTTGCACTCTTCAGGTTTACAGGACCATGGCTTCCCACACTTGTGTTAACTTCTCTTTGCTGACAGTGTTGAGGATGATGTGATTTTGGTCATACTGTGTTCCCCCTGAAAGAAAGAAAAGGAAAATAATAAAAGGAAATGTGCCTGTAGCAGACAAAGCAGAGAAGAAAGGCCTGGGCTGAGAGGATGAATCAGCTCTCGGTTGTGTTCAAATCCCATCCTGTGGGCACCAACAACTCCACACAGGATGTCCTACCTCCCAGGGCTCCTTTTCCTACTCAAGACTTAAAAGCTAGGAAGCACTCACTCTTTAGGTGTCTGAAATGAGGAGGTGAGGGGTGGGGAGGTGGAAGAATCTAGAGAAGGGAAAAGGAACAGAGTGCTGGTGAAATATATTCAGTGATTGTGGATTTGCTATACCAGGCCTTGAAAGTAGTGGAAGCGTTGGCATCTGGAACAGGTTTTGCATGAACAATGACAAATGGCTGTATTAGGGCAAAGGGGAGGTTTGAAAGACACCCAGATACGTGGACTGAGCAGCATGCCCACTCCTGGGAACGCACTTGGTATATAAAAATTCATAGCACTTGATCCTGAGTTTAACTGTACTTTTAAAATTAGCATAATTTAAACTCCCTTTCACTAGAATGTAAGAATATTTTCCAAGGGTGCCTACTAGATATTTAGATATGTGGGTGCTAAAAAACATGGCCTCTTCTTTTGATGGAGAAGCATCAAAGTGTTACCTGATTTTTTTTTTTTCAGTGTGTAATAAGTAACGGTTTCAAATACCTTATCCTTTCTTAGCATAAGCCTCTGCACCAAGGTTATATCATAGGGACTCCATCGAAATAAAAATCTGTTCCTCTAGATGTGAGGCAGTGTGACAGGTATTGAAATCCTACTGCATCCTCAAGCCAAGAAGAATTAAATGTTCTTATGTTTTTAAGCATTTATAAGAAATCAGTTTATCATCACTGATGATCTAGAGCCTCTGCACATCTAGGTGTAGGATAGAATACCAGAGCAAGGTGCCCTGAGCCTGTGTGTCATGGGGAAAAAAGTTCACCACCACCAGCAAATCCCACTGTCTCCACTGAGACACACACTCTACTCCATTGAGATTTGGGGGTGTATTAGGATCACAGTGTTGTCTTGCTTCACTCTTTAGGATTATGATGTAATATATGCAAAAAGAATGTTAAGATACCATAATCTTAATTAGAATCATGAAGACTAGAAAGTCCTTGAGAAATCATCTGATTTCATTCTTCTGCCTCTGGGGAGAATGGAGATCATCCCAAACTTTTGATGTTTTTAAAGCGAGGAGGAATCTGCTTCCATTGCTGTCATAATGTACGGGGTCTGAAATAATACAGGACCTCTACCGAAAAACGCCTCCCTCCCCAGACACCAGGAGGTAAGTTACAAGAAAGCCCCTTGGTCTGATAGATCTTGGGGCAAGGTCAGCAGGTTCAACAGCTGTAGCTGAGGAAGATCCGAGTCTCCTATTAAGTGTAACCGAGAGGGACTTGTATTTCCCTTGCACCTACTCCCTCATGTCCACGAGGTGGCATCACTCTCCCACATTCTGAGAAAGTGAAATTCAGTTTAACAAGGCCAGTGACTAGTGCAGTTCCCCCTACCTAGTCTATACTGAGAGTTCATAAACCTATAGAACCCTATCCTTACTCAGGAAGCATTGGAAGTATTTAGAATGCATTTTAGGAAGGGACCTTGGAGCTTTAAAGCAAAGCCCTACGGAGGAAGCTTCTAGAGTCCCACGGTTCTTGTCAATCAAGACTCAAAGCCAGGTGTCCTTACTCCTTGTCAAGTTCCAGTGTAGCAAGTGGGAAATAGTCCTGTATGCTTGGAGCGTCTACCTTGTAAACTCTCTGAAGCCAAGGTAGTATTTCCCTCCCCACTTTGGTACCCGGTATGACTAGCTCATAAGAATTATAGGAACCTCTTAACCTTGACACAGAAAACTGATCACATAAGAAACATGAATCCATGTTTTTTAAAAAACAATGTTTCCAATCTAGTCGCATTTCTTTGCTTTTGAAACTCTGTCTTATAAGACCAAGGAGCTCTAGTTCAATAAGGTGATACATGCATATGCATGAGAATCCTCAGCTATACTCACTGAGATCAGGGCCTTTTGTGATTTTTAGTCTATTATAATAAAACAAATGGTTTGAAGTCAGCCTAGGTCCAGATTCCATCTGAGCACTTACGGGTCTAGGACTCTGATCAACCCCTCTGAGCCTTACTCTTGTGGCTATAAAATGGGACCGGGGAGGAGGGGGAACCTGGGGCTCCTAGGGTCGCTGGGAAGAGCCCGTGAGCTAGAATGCATGGAGAGTGTTCGCAGTGGCTGGTCCAGAGCAAGGGATCGCTTACTATTAAGAGTATGCACATTTTCACAAGTGAAAAATACATTTTTAGTTAAGTACAGACACAACAGAGAAAATAAATGATTCTTACCTTTGACATCTAAAACTAAATTCGGTTTCAACTTGCTGTAGATCCTGCCGTCCGGCTTCATGCTCCAGAACTGACTGTCGACATTCTGGTCGAGGGCGAGGCCCAGTTTAGAGCCAGAGGTCACGAGGCTCCCCACGATCGTCAGGCAGCAGTCTTCTGCTATCTGCTTATGGGAAAGAAGGCAGCTGAGAGACGGAGACATGTTCAAGGATCATGACCAGTTCTTGGCACGAATTGACTTTTAAAGTTGTCTTCGTTGTCCACTTCATTTACCCCAGAGGAGGCTTTAGCCAGAGGAACTGGGATCAAGCAACAAATACTTATACCTTCATTTCAGGTGACACGAGTGCTGGAAAGTTCTCCATTCTTGTCCATTGTAAGATTTCTGCCCTTCGTGAGTCAGGGGAACCTTAGAACATTAGTTCTCCCTTTCAGAAATGACCATGATCAGAGGCGGGAGTCTATTGCTGTATCTCCCCTGACCTAACCATCTCTGCTCAGCCTGACCCTTCTGGAATGTGACTGCATCTTTAATTTGAAAGGCTGTTGTAACACTGAAATAGCTTAAAGGGCATTTTATTATTTTAAAACTTGAAATTCCACCTACTCACTTGTCTTTCCTTCATGAGAACTGTCTAGAAAGTTCCAAAAAGGCAACTATAAAAAGAGGATAAAATACAAATGCAGTGGAGTGTGAATTAATGCAAAGATTTTAAGGGGCCTTTTCTGAAGTGAATCTACCCTCTCTATATACATATGTTCACGTGATGTTAACACATCCTGCTACAGAAAATGCTTATGAAAAGTGTATAATAGATAAAAAGAGTGATAATCTGGGACACTGTTTCTCATTGACCTACTGAATTCACAGTTAACATCACTAAAGTGTTTATTAGAAGTAATTATAAGTAATTGCTGAAAGGCACTGTTTTCTTGAAGTGTTTAATTCAAAGACAGAAGTTGGCTTTTTTTATGCTTCTACAGTCCAGCCCCTTCTGCTTCTCATGCTATTTCTTCTACGCCTGTCTAAACAGTACTTCCGCTTACTGAAAGGATGATTCTCCCTCAAGCACAACAGACCCAATTAACAGGTTGTGCTCCCTTCCGCAGGGCTGTATGCCTTCTGCTGACTCATGGGCACCAAGGTTTAAGAAAAAAATCGGGAGCAAACAGTCAAGCCCAAGAAGGAGTTAAAAAGACTATCTACAACAGAAGCGTGAGCCTCTCTAATGAAGTCTTATAGTACATTCAGCTTTACCATGTCTTATATGGCAGGAGGGATGCAACAGGGAGACAGACCATTTTCCATTTTACAAGGTATGACAATTAGGCAGTGGACTGTGTTGTACACAGGGTCATATGTCTTTGCCCTAGTCTGCAGGGTCCTCCAAAATAAAACAAGAATGATTTGCATTTACAGTGCTGGGGCTTCTTGAAATAAATCATAATAAGTAGATTAAGGAAAAGGGGGAAAATAACACAGACACTTCCTTCTATTACTACATAATCAGGTATGGATGTAAATATTCCATCCTGGATCAGTGCTAGGTTTACCTCCCGTTTTAAGTTCCTAGATTGGTTGGTTCTATCAGCAAATAAATATTTTCATGGAAAACCTTCTAATTTAGTTCTCAAAGTGCTCCAGGAAGTGTGAAATACCATCTACTTGAAGAAAGAGGCTATTACAAACCCTTATCTAATCCTAAAAGCTCACCCTGCATTTGATGCATCCTTCTTGATAAATCCAAATCTGATCATCAGCACCGACATCTTCCATGACCTGTATTCTAAGAAGCTTCAGATCCTCTAAGTTTCCATTGGTGGACATGAATAACCCCGTTGCTTTGTTTCGAAGTCTGAAATAAATTCGTTTCTGGAAGACAAAGATGCCGGCAGTAGTCATATATAGGGAGTACTGTTAGGAGCACAGAATAAGCATCGACAGCAGGGGCAGAATCAGAGGTGAGGCTGGAATAGGGATCATTGCTATATCCCTCAGAGGCTTTAGGATTTTCCCAAGGAGGAGAGTTTGTCAAAATTTCCAAGTGCCTGGGGCGGGGAGCCTGGGGAGAGCCCACAGGCTGGATGTTGGTGTGGTAGCATTTCCGAAAGCCATCACGACCCCTCAGCACCAGAAACAGAGCCCAAATCCAAAAATTCAGGGGGTGGGGAGAGACCAATTTCATACTTAAAACTGAAACTAAAAAGCTGAGTTCATTTACAAAAAAAAAAAAAAAAAAAGACTTCAGAGAAGAGTACTGAAAACCTGGAGAGGGAAAACAAATACCTGAACAAAAGGTCGTAGAGAACCTATTTGTCGACAGCCACTGAACTCATACCAGTTCGGGACTTCCGCTGGGGACAGGAGGAACTGCTGGCCCCTGTAATTGCCATATTCATAAGTGACCCATCTGGGGAAAAAGTAGAAAACCACAGTAAGTGGCAGTATCCATTTGACAGTCGGCTGCCGTTATATTTATTTTTACAGTGCTTCCCATTTTTACACCAAGTTTTATACCTTAAACATACTTGGGGGGAGAAAAGGAAACTACCTTATTATCTAAAACACTTAAAGCACCCATTTCTTGACAAGTAGGAAATTCTTGGTACATGAGTATTTATGCCGAAAAGATCCATTCCTGAATAGAAACAGGTAAGTTTTTCCCTCTTAATAAGGCCATGAAATACGGTCCTTTCCACAAGGCTGCCCCGTACTTCCTGTGAGGCTTTCATAAAATATTTTCAGTTGTAATTTTTTTTAAAAGATTTTATTTATTTGAGAGAGAGCGAGCACTCAAAAGGGGGTGCGGGCATAGGGAGAGGGAGAAGCAGGGAGCCTGATGCGGGGCTCGATCCCAGGACCCTGGGATCATGACCTGAGTTGAAGGCAGACACTTAACCGACTGAGCCACCCAGACACCCCCAGTTGTAATAATCTTTTATTTAAATAGTTACTATTTGTGAAGTTCTTAGTGTGTGACCCATGCTATGTATTATATAAGGGTCAAATAAAAATAACTCAATAAATGTTTATTTAAAACAAGTGTAATCTTCCTCAATCCAGAAAACTGCTGAAGATACTCTGGTTTCTCTGCCCGAAGATGCTGTTACCCACACCTGAAAAAGTATGTTTTTTTCCATACTTTGCAGGAAACCCAGCAACCTTCCTCTCTGGCTGATGTATGACATCAATGAAGAATGTTCTCTGCTTTTAATCCCAGAACTCTAAAATGTTATCATCTTAGCCATTTTATCATAAAAACAAAATATTAAAACCTTCTGGGGGGGAATCACCCATAATTCTACCACCATAGTAATCCATAATAGTTTTGTTAATAACTGTAGGCCCCTCCAATATCTGATGCATATAGATAGATTATGCCTGTTGTTTTTAGGAGGGAAAGAAAAATAATTTCTTAAAAATACTTATTACATGGGTAGTCCTTATTCATTTTTATATCTTAATTTCAAAATTATTCAAAGTTGAGAAAAATCTTTCCACATTGACTTTTAATCATCGTGCATAGCATCTGCTAATCATTCTTAGGTAAAGGAAAATCCTGACCCTTACTCCGAAGCCCAAGGACTTGGCCTTTCAAAGGGATAAGAAAAATCAGCTCCCTTTCTTACTTGCTAAAAAAGTGCTGAATATATTTACTGAGCACTGGTTTGCAAAGGATTCCCCTAGGAACTTGAGAGGAGCTAAAGACAAAGTCCTCTCCTTAAGTGAATTAAAAATCTGGATGAAGAGATGAAAACTACCTCACACATGACTTTTCCCAGTGGGAAAACTATGCTATGAAGGTGCATGATTATTAATCCTCACAGGAAATAAGGGGATAAGAGGTTATATTTCAGTTTGCTTAAGGTAGCATAGGCAAGAAAGAAATATGATTAAACCTAATTTTAAAAATCAAATATTTTACTGAATAAAAAGTAGGTAACTCACTTACATGCCACCAATCACCTGAACAGAGCGTATCTGTGTGTTGAATCCTAGGGATCGGAGATTAACTACTTCTGCATTAAGTTCAATCTTTTTTCCTTTGAAGTCTTCTCTTTCAAAAAGAATAATTGTTGGTTCAGAAAATTCCTGTTGAACAAAAATAGTGTTCTGTTACTCAGCTTTGATAATAATTCAGACTCATACAGAAATATCTTGTTAAGGACAAATCACAAGATCTGACCAGGCTTAGCCTGTCCTAAAGTCCCTTTCCCTGGAGGTCTGGGTGTTCCTGTACTCCAAAGCTAAAGAGAGGAAGGACAGAGGGGCAGGAAGGTTTTCTACTGCATAGAAAGGTAGGGAAATATAATGGTGTTTTAAAGCGGGGGGCGGGGGGAGACACATATCCTAGGCACAAAGGAAGGGGTATTTGAATCATCAACACTTGTAATTTATTTTCAATTTTTCCATTTTTTTATTGGGGATAAGGAGGGGCTAGAGAGCCATGTACATAAATAAATGGTAAGGGTCTAAGGATGGTGGCGGTCTGGGGTCTAGTGGGACAGTGGTAATTACCTAATCAAGGAACCTTCCCCTTGTAAGCATTTTTCAAATGTCTTTTTTGTTTTAATTGTCAGTAAGACAACAGATTCTGTGTACTCGTGCTCCCAAGCTTTCCTGTAGGAATAATTGTTAGGAGAGAGAAAAAGAAAAAAAACCAAGGTGCAAGCCCCACTTTCGAGCCCTCATTCATTTGAAAGAGGACCAGAGCACAGAGGTCCACCGATTTTGAGAAAATAAAAAGCTGGCAGCTCGTGCTTGTTTTTCAAATTACAGACCCTCCTGACCCCAGTCTACGCTCTAATGATAATAATCCTAAGATCATAAATAATACATCAAAAATCCCCTCCCTGCTTAAAGTTTTGTGGTTAGGGTGTGGACACTTACGGCCTCATTTATGTGGATGTGCCCTGACGTGTACAAAGATTTCTGTGGAGCAGTAAACAGAGCAGATGAGGCCATAGAGGTGGTTTGTATGGTGCAGGAATGAGGTTATATAAAACACAGAAGGAAACGACATGAGTATCAGAAGTGGCCTGAGCACGTATGCCAAGTGCTAGTTGAAGGAAGGCGTCTGAAAACCTGACCACTGAGGTGGGTTTGTTTTGTTGTTGTTTTTTAAATATACATTTGGAGGTAGCTTTTAGAATTCTAGGCAGGTTAAATATTAAAGTTTTAGATATTTTATTGTTTATAAGCTAATGAATCTTACGCAACATCCCATGTTTCTCTGCTACTATTTTCACATCTCAAGAAAGGTCAACATTTCCGTTATTTGAACAGGCAGGCAGGGAGGAGATAAGCCACCTCATGTATGTTCTCCCTACTTTTAAAACGCAAGTCACCAACGACATACGTTTAAAGCTTTGTAGGCGAGATCAGCTACAAAAAAAACTACAGACACACCCAGACTTGAACATCTGAACATTATCTTGATGTTTTGTTTTACTGAATATCACTTTGGCTACATCAAAATTGAAGGTTTCTGTTCGGAAAGGGACACTATCATCTGAACTAGCAAGACACTGTGATAAACCAGGAGAAGACGTGATTGCAAGTCTCTAAAACAACAGAGTGCTAGATTGAAAAACCACGAGGACTTTCTGCAACTCAGTAACAACAACAAAAGATACAGAAAACTAAACAAGAGCCTGGTAAAGGCTGTAAAACAGGCAGTTCACTGAACAGAAAACCCAAATGACTAATTAGTGTATGAAAGCCCGGTCTCACTAATAGTAAAACATATCACAACGAGATAATACTTTCTGCCCAGTTTCTTCAAACTGACAAAAGTGAGAGAATACCCAGTAATGGCAATGATGTAGAAAACAGGAGCCCACATGCTCTGCTAGCCAAGATCTCAAGTAGTGGAATTTGGCCATACTTAGAGAAACTGCATATTCATGCATGTGAAATCCAGCAAATCCACTCTTTGTAAATACACACCCCCAGGAGACTCTCACACAAGTCAATAGGGATATGTGTGTGTGTGTGTGTGTGTGTGTGTGAGAGGATTAAGTAAAATATGGTGATGAATACTTGCACCAATTAGAATCAATAAACTGGATGTACGTTCAGCATAATGGACAGCTCTTAAAATTTTTTTAATGTAAGTATTGGGTTGTTTATGATGATGAGAACTATGGCATCATACCGTATGTAAACTAAAAGCCAATATGTAGATTTTTTTTTTAAGATTTTATTTATTTATTTGACAGAGAGATAGAAGAGCACAAGCAGAGGGAATGGCAGAGGGAGAGGGAGAAGTAGGCTCTGCACTGAGCAGGGAGCCTGACGCGGGACTCGATCCCAGGACCCTGGGATCATGACCCGAGCCGAAGGCAGACGCTTAACCATCTGAGCCACCCAGGCGCCTAATATGTAGATTTTTAAAAAAACATAATATCCAAGCTGTATCCCAAACACATTAGAATGGGTGCCTGTAAAGGAGAGAGGAATAGAACTAGGGATCAGGTATGCGATGGAAAAAAACATGACCCGAAAGGTGCCTCGAACTAACCCCTGCTGACTGCTGTACCACAGCTGACTCAACACTCTACACCTGGAGTCTGAGAAAAGCAGCAAACCAAACCAGATCTAAAAAGAGGGCCGCCTGGGCGGCTCAGTCGGCTAAGCGTCTGCCTTGGGCTCAGGTCATGATCCCGGGGTCCTGGATCGAGCCCTGAGTTGCGCTCTCTGCTCAGCGGGGAGTCTGCTTTTCCCTCTCCTTCTCTCACTCTCCCTCAAATAAATAAAATCTTAAAAAATAATAATAATAATAAAAAATAAATAAAAAGATCTTAAAAGAGACCAAAAAGTTACAGGATGGAAAGTTCTATGGCAACTGCTTTCTCTGCCTCTGACCTTAAGTC